TTCTAAAAACACAACCGCACGTCCGATTCCTATCAAATTAACTCTGAATGACGCCAAAATTTGCAAGCGAGTTCCAAATAGAAAAACGGACATATTCCAAGTCTACAAACAGAAATCCAAACACGATAGCTATGAAGTCAACCTACGATCAAACTTATCAAAATTCTAAGCCTTTAAATTGCCAACTTTCATCAAAACAAACCAAATCTACCTAGGGATATCCGCATTCAATTACGGGCTTATGTGCAAGACAAAAATCATGATATGAACCTACAAGAGTCATCAAAATATCATTCCGGGGTTGTTTTCACAAACGTTAAACCTCGTTCAACATTAACAACTTAAGCTTCTAAAATGAGAACCATTCATCAAAATAGGCCTGAAACCTCCGAGGATCGAATCAGACCATACACGCAAGCCATATTACCCAATATGAAGCTACTCAAGACCTTGAATCACAGAACGGAACGCTAAAGCTTAAAATGACTGATTGAGTTATTACAAGTATGAGTACAATCGATCCTAAGTACTCAATAAGTAGCAAGTCTAATCTCGAGCTGAAAGCAGTGATGAGTTTGGCAAGGTCCAATGCTTACTTTCCAGAAGTTGGAATTGTGTTCTAAGGATTGTAAGTTAAAGTTGAAGGAAGAATCTTAAGATAGGATTGTGTTATGGACTTATACGGATTGAGGTAGCATGATATCACCCATGGGTATGTGTATGGAGAGCTTATACAATATTGTCTGGATTTGGAACGATTCTTGGCACGTTCAAGGACGAAAATATGTTTAAGTGGGGGAAAATATAACGAAGCGAGTAGTTGTTTTGAATGTTAGCATTCTATTGGTGGTTTGAGGTCTTGAATAGATGAATATGATATATTACGACCTGCATGTATGGTTGGTTTTGACTTTTAAGAGGTTCGGAGTTGATTCTGAAGAGTAATTCTCAATTTAGAAGCTTTAAGTTGGAAGAGTTGACCAATGTTTGACTTTTGAGTAAACGACCTTAGAATCAGGATCTGATGGCTCTAATAGGTGTGTATGGTGATTTTGGACTTGGGCATATATTCGAATTTAGATTTGGAGGTTTTTAGAAGGTTTTGGCTCTATTTGCCGCTTGGATCCCATAAGTGAATCGAAAGTTAGATCTACATTGGATCTCACCGAAAGTTGACAATTTTAAGGTTTGATCAGAAGTTGACTTTGGTATTACCGGGCTTTGATTGGTGTCCTGAGACTTTGAATAATTTAATATGATTGATAACTTATGTACAAAGTTTGATTGTTATCCGGAATGTCTAAGTGTGACTTGGACGCCTTCGGCAGAGTTTGCATGTTTGGAAGTAAATAGATGGATTCAATCTTTGATTCTTGGTTTTGATGTTGTTATTCATGTTTTGAGACTTTTGACAAATTATAATAACGTATTAGTACTTGTTAGTATGATTGGACGGGGTCCCGAGGGGCTCGGGTGTGTTTTGGGTCATATGTTGAGAGACTATTTAAGTTAAGAATTTGGAGTATGTCCATGGTCAACATCGGGTCATGACGATCTATTTTTGGTGTTTTGAGTGCACGGGCAGGTTCATAGCCTATTTTATGATTGAAATTAATATATGGTTTGTGTTCGAGAGATTCCGGATGAGTTCCGGTATGGTTTCGGATCATTTCAATTGACTTTAAGATTGTTGGTGCTGCTACTTCGCAATTGCGAACTTTTTATTGCAATTGCAAACTGTGTATTTGCAAACTTTTGATCGCAAATGCGACATCTGCAGTTGGGTTAAGAGATGAAATTTCAGGATTTTAGGTCATTCTTTAATATTTTTAACCCGACACTTGGAGAGGGGCAATTTTTCATGGGAATATTCATATAAGGCAAGAGCGTAAGTGATTTCTACCTATTTTTTTATTATATTTCAAGAATCTATATGGATTTCTATACCAAAAATGTGAAATTTCAATGTGGAACTTGGGATTTTTTACTACACTTTAAGAAAGTGTATTTTGAGGATTTGAGTATCAATTTGAACTCGATTTTGGAATCTAATCATATATTTGGACTCGGTAGGTTATGCATCCTCGGATTTTCATATTGATTATGGATTTCGGGCATGCGGGCTCAGGTTGACTTTTGTTGACTTTTTGGGAATTCATCAAAGATCGAAACTTTATTGATTGAGATTGCTTTCTATAGCATTATTTGACTTCCTTAGATAATGTTTGGCTTGGATTTATGTGATTGGAGGGCTAGAGCGAGGTTTTGACACGATTTGAGGTTGAAAACTAGCCGGATAAGGTATGTGTCTTGCCTAGCTTTGGTTTGAGGAAATTTTTCCTAATAAATGATATTGTTTGCTACATGCGATGTTGATGTATATGCGAGGTAACGAGCGTATATGCATGTTCCATGGGTATTCATGCTCTGTGACGACCTGAAATCCCTCCTGAGGAGTCGTGATGGCACCTAGTCCCTAGGACTAGGTAAGCCTAACACATAGTGAGCTATTAACAGATTTAAGCCAATTAATTATTAGACATGAACCAGAAATGTCTATACAAAGCGAACATCCCAAAGTAGGTATACAACATCCCAAATCCGGTAGTACAAGTCATAAGCTCTACTGAGTTCACTAGAAAATCTCTAAGTACAATTATTCCAAAATAGAAATAAACATTACAAAGTAAAACTTTAGAAGGTGACTCCGAGGTATGCGAAAGCGATGCCAGATATACCTTGAAGTCTCCACAGCAATACTCGATCAACTATCTAATGACCAACACGCTCTAAGGTACCTAGATCTGCACAAAAATGTGAAGGAAACATAGCATGAGTATACCACAGCGGTACCCAGTAAGTATCAAGACTAACCTTGGTAGAGTAGTGATGAGAAACAGTCAAGACACCTACTAGACATAATAACCTATACAAGTATGAATATAAAACTAAGAGGGAACAATATCAAGATAAAACTAAACATGGTAAGAATAACAATACAATGCTTGCAAATGGAAACTAGAAACAACAATTAGCAACAAGGAGCAAACAGGTAATAACGCCGTAAAGCAAGCAGAATACAGTATAAGTCCAGTGAAACCAAGTTAGGGGAGAACAAGTAACAATCCAATAATCAACCGCTCTCACACAAGGTTTATATAAGAATTTCTCCAAGGTACCACACCTCAAATCACGAACCCTAATCACTTGGCATCTTGTGCCCATATTACCAATCACCACCGCACGGACAACTCACGAGCTGCATGGACGACTCATGTGCCAATACCATTACACCTCATATCTGCACGGACAATTCACGTGCTAACAGTAACAATATCTCATATCCGTACGGACAACTCATGTGCCAATAGTACCATTCATGCACAGAGACAACGAATGGCACAATGGGAACAACACAACAAAACCCGTAATATGCATGACTCACACAAGATAGGCACACCACCACACAAATATCATCAATGAAAATACCCCTAGGCCATCACAAATCATCCCCGACATAGCCCCCTGTCTCGTCGCGTGAGCAACAATATAGTAAAATCCTGCCTTGTCTCGCCACACGCGCATAACAAATATCCCACCTTGTCTCGCCACATGCGCAAACCCAACATATATAGCCCGCCTTTTCACGCTGCATGTCAAATATAAATATTTACAATGGTACGGACAACTCACGTGCGAACACCCCGACGATCCTCCCATCAATACCACATGTGCCAAAAATATAATATAATAACCCGCACCACATGTGCCCATATACCACCACATTTTCACAACAGCAATTCCAATACCACAACCACACATAGCCCACGGCTCAACAACACCGAGTATAACAAAAACAACAATAACACGAGGGTACGACAAGTAAATCAACAAAAGAATTACAATAATGCAATAAAACGGAAGAATGAGCTCAACAATGAAATACATAATAAGTAATAATGACTTCAAGTAAGAGTAGTTTGACAATAAGAGATATAACATGTAACAATAACTTCAAATAAGGATAATCAACTACGGAGGAGATAACATGTAACAATAATTTCAAATGAGGATAATCAACTACGGAGAAGATAACATGTAACAATAACTTCAAATAAGGATAATCAACTACGGAGGAGATAACATGTAACAATAATTTCAAATGAGGATAATCAACTACGGAGAAGATAACATGTAACAATAACTTCAAATGAGGATAACTCAACTAAAGCATGTATGAAAGAGATAACATGATAACAAAGAGGCAACAATTACAATTAAAGCATGTATGAGTAAATCTAACAATGGAGGATATAACATGATGGAACAACTTCAATTTAATGGATATAAGAAACCTAAGAGCCTAAACCAGTCAAATCTCCACATATAAGGCACACTTGTCACCTCGAGTACATGTCTTTCACGTAGTTCAAATAGTCCAAACAAACCAATCCCTACGGGTTCCCCCTCCCCCCACCCACAAAGTTAGGCAAGATACTTGCCTTAAAAGCCCTTAATCAATACTCAAGAATAGCTTTTCCTTTACAATTCACTTGCGCTCGGCTCAAATCTAACCAAAATCGACTTAATAACATCAAATAATTCAAGAGAAATCAATTCCAATAAATAAAGTTATGACCTTTGAAAAATTTCTCAAAAGCCAACACTGGGCCTGTCCGATCAAAACTCGAGTCCAAGGGTAGATTCCGACTACCCATAACCCCACGAGTCTATATATGTATTTTGTTTCTAAATCCGAGTCCAAATCGACTCTCAAAACTCAAATTCTCATATTTCAAAACATAGACAAAGTTTCTCAAAATTTAACTTTGATTCTCATAATTTTGATGTTAAATCTCCTATATAAACATGTAAAATAGTTGGAAATCGATAAAAGTCACTTACCCAATGATTTTAGATGAAAATCCCTCTTCAAAATTGCCTCATATCGAGTGTAGGGTTCAAAGATATGAAATAACAACAACAACAACAACAACAACCTAGTAAAATCCCACAGGTGCAGGTCTGGGGAGGGTAGTGTGTATACAGACCTTACCCCTACCCCGATGGAGTAGAGAAGCTATTTTCAATAGACCCTCGGCTCAAGAAAATGAACAAGAGGAAAAGAGGCAATATATCAGTACCATCAACAGAAACCATAAAAATAATAACAGCATCATAAGAACCAGAAAATAGATGAAACACAATAACAATAACCAGTAAAGAAGGCCCAATGCTATGAAAAATGGAAGAATAGTGTGAACACAATATTAACCACTGGCAATCTAAGAGCAGTCTAAGACAAACCCTATCAGACTATCCTCTCACCCTGTACAAAGTAGAAAAATGCTCAACTACCTCCTAACCTACAACCCTAATGCTCGACCTCCACACCTTCCTATCAAGGTCCATGTCCTCGGAAATCTGAAGCAACGCCATATCCTGCCTGATCACCTCTCCCCAATACTTCTTAGGCTGCCCTCTACCTCTTCTCGTACCCGCAAAATCCAACCGCTCACACCTTCTTACCGGGGCATCAGGGCTTCTCCTCAGCACATGCCCGAACCATCTGAGCCTCGCTTCTCGTATCTTGTCTTCTATTGGTGTCACGCCCACCTTCTCCTGAATATCCTCATTCCTAATCTTATCCATCCTAGTGTGCCCGCACATCCACCTCAACATCCTCATTTCTGCTACTTTCATCTTCTGTATATGTGAGTTCTTAACCGGCCAACACTCTACCCCATACAACATGGCCGGTCTAACCACAACTCTATAAAACGTACCTTTGAGTATAGATGGCACTTTCTTGTCACACAGGACTCCAGATGCTAACCTCCATTTTATCCATCCCACCCCTATAAAGTGTGTGATGTCCTCTTTAATCTCCCCGTCCACCTGGATAACCAACACAAGGTACTTGAAACTACCTATCTTGGGGATGACCTGTGATCCAAGCCTCACATCCATCCCGCTTCCCTCGACTCGGCGCTGAACTTGCACTCCATGTATTCTGTCTAAGTCCTACTCAACTTGAAACCCTTAGACTCAAGGTCTTGTCTCCAAACCTCCAGCTTCTCGTTAACACTACCTCGCGTCTCATCAATCAGAATTATGTCATCAGCGAATAACATACACCATGGCACCTCACTTTGGATATGTCATGTCAGTAAGTCCTTCACCAGGGCAAATAAGAACAGGCTGAGTGTAGAACCTTCATGTAACCCCATTACAACCGGGAAATTCTTCGAGTCGCCTCCCACTGTCCTAACTCGGGTCTTAGCTCAGTCATACATGTCCTTGATCGCTCTAATGTAAGCTACTCGCACACCTTTTGCCTCCAAGCATCTCCAGAGAACCTCCCTAGGAACCTTGTTATACGCTTTCTCCAGGTCAATAAACACCACGTGTAGATCCTTCTTCCTATCCCTGTATAGTTCCACCAATCTCCTAAAAAAGTGGATAGATTCCATGGTAGAACGACCCAGCATAAACCTAAACTGGTTCAAATACATTAAAATGAGAGCAAAAATCCCGTCCCTCAGCTTTTATGTCCAGTCAGGTGTCGCAAATGCGAGGAAATGATCGCAAAAGCGAAGATCCTCACACCCTTGCCGTCATCGTAAATGCGACGTTTGTTCACAAATGAGAATTGTGGATATTTCGCAAAAGCGACCATTTGGTCCCAAAAGCGATCCCTCCCCAGCCCAGGCCATTATCGCAAATGCGATAGGGAGTTTGCAAATGTGAACTCTTTAGGCCACAATGTATTTTGGAAAAGCGAAGGAGAACACGCAAAAGCGAAGGAGAACCTGCATTTGCGACATATTTCTCGCAAATGCGAGATCAGAAATACCATGAAAAATCTGAACCTTCTATGAACTCTCCGGAACGCGTCCGAAACTCACCCGAGCCCTCGGGGCTCCAAACCAAACATCAATACAAGTCAAAAAAATAGCATGAACTCGCTCGCGCGATCAAACCACCAAAATAACATCCAAAACCATGAATCAGACCTCCAACACACATGAAATCTACAATGAAACTCAAGAACTTCTAAGAACTGCACGTCCGATTCCTATCAAATCAACTCGGAATGACGCAAAACTTTGCGAACAGGTTCCAAGTGATAAAACGGACCTATTTCAGGTCCCGAAATGGAAATCCAAACATGATTGCTATGAAGTCAACCTACGGTCAAGCTTTCTTAACCTCAAGTTGTCAATTTTTGGCAAAATAACACAAATCAACCTACAGACCTCCGAATTCAATTTCGGGCATACACCCAAGTCCAAAATCACGATACATACCTATCGGAGCCATCAAAACACTTTTCCGGGATCGTTTTCACAAAAGTCAACCCTTGGCCAACATATTCAACTTAAGCTTCTAAAGTGAGAATCACTCATCCAAATATATCCTGAAACATCCGTAAATCAAATCTGACCCTGCACACAAGTCATAATACACAATATGAAGCCACTCAAGACCTCGATCCACTTAACGGAACCTCAAGGCTCAAAATGACTGATCGGGTCGTTACATTCTCCCCCTCTTAAACAAACATTCGTCCTCGAAAGTGCCAAAAGTCTTTCACAAGCTATCAAATCACTGCATAACTCACCATACACATACCCACGGATGAGCCTACGTCACCCCATCCACATAGGCCCGACAACATCATCTCAACTGAAGATTATTCGTTCTACTCATGTCGATAAGCCTTAGAATCAAATTTCCATATCCACTAAGTGCCCTATTATCACGCAACCACTCTGTAAAATCCTCAACTAGCCCACCGCTCATGCATACATCCAAAATATACAACCACACGACATAACACATTACCCATATGCCCATAGCAACAACTATGACCATAATAGCTACTCATTACCAAGCCCGGTATCGGCAAATAGCCTCATATCTACTATAATGTTGTTCCAAACCTTCACAACACTAAAAATAATGCAAGAAACATGCGACTATCATAACTACTCACCCGATCAACTAGCCACATCGAACGCCACCTGGGCACATACATCGCAATCCAAACCTAACAAGCATAACCTGAATATAACTAAACATGGAAAGAGGGAATCACATGATAGAACTATAAAACACGCCCAACACGTACAACTCCCTATCGACACCATACTACGGATCCAATCCATAAGGAAGATAAAGACTCACGCACTGACTACAATGAATCTTACACTAAGCTCACCTCACCACGGCACATAGCCCGGTACAAACATGCCTATCCAAAAAGAACACCAAGATCCCATACTCCACCAGGAATCACAAGTAAGATAAATATCTCAACGTCTAAAACACTCTGCTAATCCAATCTCGTAGAACCAAAACCACAACACGTAACAACTTTCCTTACCTGTAGAGCATCCAAATCACAAGTCGGGCCAAACCATCCAGAAATCACATCAAAACTTACTGTATTTGACTAACATAAAGTCCAGTAGGATCCCCCAATTGGCGCGGACACATGAACAAGTACAAGATTCACGAAACATAACCACATATGGAGCAAGGTAGGATGAATCTTACCAATAAATGGGACCAGATCGAAGTAGCACAAATGCATCTCTATAATCAATCAAAATCATACTTGTAATGATATCATCTGGTACATCAGCCTCTGCCCAACCAGGAAGAGCATAAAAATGGGCCCGACCTTCCCCTCTAAGATGACCGCTACCTTCCTGACCTCCACCCCTAGCTGGCGGTGCAGGTATAATAGCAACTAGAGCGGAACTCATGGCCTGAATACCCCGCTGTGACATATCTGTCCGGAGTCTGAGATAGTCTCTCACCATGTAGCTGGTATCCCCACACTCAAAGCAACCTCTCCGCTGATGTGGCTATGGAAGCTATCAGGTACGGGTACTCTAGGACCCATAGATATCTAAAGCACCACTTGAAGCCTGAAATGCAAACTGAACTAGCTGACCCACAAAACCTCTACCATGCACCCTGCCTCCAAAGTAATGATCAGTAGATCCTCCAGTCCACAAGGACTCTTGGCCTCTTTGTCCTCTCACTCCTGGCCCCGCATACCCTCCAACCTACGAGCGATTTCTACAACTTGCTAAAATGGAACATCCATTTCTAACTCCCTAGCCATGCTGAATCGGATACCATAGTTGAGCCCCTCAATGAACCTGCGGACTCGCTATCTAAATGTAGAAACCAAAGAAGGTGCGTGACAGGACAATTCACTAAATCCGATGGCATACTCTACCACTGTCATAGTTCCCTGACACAGCTGCTCGAACTCTGTGTGCCACGTATCTCGAAGGGTCTGGGGAACAAGCTCCCTCAAAAACATCTCTAAAAACTGAGTCCAAGTGAGTAGCGCTGTATCCGCTGGCCTACCATCCTTATAAGCCTTCCACTACTAATATGTCACTCCAGACAACTGAAACGTAGTGAAAGCAACTCCACTAGTCTCCATAATACCCATGGAACGGAGTATACGGTGGCACTTCTCTATAAAACCCTACGTCCTTAGTAGCTAGGAAACTGTAAATAGGAGGATGATACTTCTTGAACCTCTCAAGTCTCAGTTGCTCCTCCTCAGATGCCCCTAGCCTGACCTCAGGCTGAACAGGAATAACAGGTTGTGATGGCATAGCACCGTGTTGCTCTAGAGTACGGGCGGTGGGAGTTTGAGCTCCTTCACCGGTCTGTGAAGTAGCTGGTATAGCTAGAATCAATCTCGCATGAGCCAATGTACCAAACATGCTTAGGAATTGAGCTAAAGTCTCCTGAAGTCCAAGGGTCGCAAGAGGCACCTCCGGTGCCTGTCCCCCAACCGGAGCTACTGGTAGTTCCTCAGCTGCTACTCTAGCAGGTGCTCTATCTGTAGCACATGCTCCTCCTCGGCCTCTGCCTCTGCCCCGGGCCCTAGAAACACCAGCTTTGGGGGAAGCATCATGAGGAACTGCAGCTCGTGTCCTCACCATCTGTGAGAGAATAGAATGGCAAAGGCTCAAACTCCAAAATCAATCAACTCGCACGATAGGAATGAAAGAAGTGAAGCTTCCTAATAGTTCTGTAGCCTCTCGAAGATAAGTACAGACGTTTCCGTACCGATCCGTAAGACTCTACTAAACTTGCTTATGACTCGTAGTACTTATGAACCTAGAGCTCTTATACCAACTTGTCACGACCCGAAATCCCTCCTGATGAGTCGTGATGGCACCTAGTCCTTATGACTAGGTAAGCCTAACACATAGTGAGCTATTAACAGATTTAAACCAATTAATTATTAAACATGAACCGAAAATTTCTATACAAAGCCAACAACCCAAAGTAGGTATACAACATCCCAAAATCGGTAGTACAAGTCATAAGCTCAACTGAATTCACTAGAAAATCTCTAAGTACAACTATTCCGAAATAGAAATAAACAGTACAAAGTAAAACTTCAGAAGGTGACTCTGAACCCTGTGAACACGACGACAAGTATACCTTGAAGTCTCCACAGCAATACTCGATCAGATATCTAATGACCAACATGCTCCGAGGTACCTGGATCTACTCAAAAATGTGCATCAAGCGTAGCATGAGTACACCACAACGGTACCTAGTAAGTATCAAGACTAACCTCGGTGGAATAATGACGAGGAACAGTCAAGACACCTACTAGACATAATAACCTGTACAAGTATGAATATAAAACTAACATGGAACAATATCAAGATAAAGCTAAACATGGTAAGAATGACAATACACTGTTTGCAAATGGAAACTAGAAACAACAATTAGTAACAAGGAGCAAACAAGTAATAATGTAGTAAAGTAAGCAGAATATAGTTTAAGTCCAGTGAAACCAATTAAGGAAGAACAAGTAACAATCCAATAATCAACCGCTCTCGCACAAGGTTTATACAAGAATTTCCCCGAGGTATCACACCTCATAATCACAAATCACGGGTCTCAAATCATGAATC